ATCCAGGTTTTGCAGTATCTGGATTCCTATCTAAAAAGCTTGGGATCCTATCTTACATCAGATTCAACCCTAAAGTCATTGATATTGAATATGTTGGCGAGATTACTGAAGAAATTACCAAGTCTTGGGATCTGTGGGGTGGAATTGGCAAGCCCTTTGGCTCTAAGGAAAATGGCTTCTTCAAGTGCAATACACCAAGAGTCTTTCCATTGAGGTAGGTAAGGTAATTTACAAACAAATACAGAATCTGAAAAATGAGTTGTACTGTTTATCTACAATATTGGGTATTTTGTACAGGTGTGTGAAGTTGAGTTTGTGGCTCTGTGCATTGGAAAATATAGTGGTCTGCCAAACATACCTGAGTTCTCTCCAGGACAAGGCCCAGAAGTGTTCAAAGGCCAGGTTATGCACTCCATGGACTTCTCTTCAATGGCAAATGAGGATGCTGCCAAATTGATCAAATCAAAGAGAGTTACAGTAATAGGCTCTCAGAAATCTGCTTATGATATAACAGCTGAGTGTGCATCTGCAAATGGTAATACTAATACCGTTTTCTCCTTGCTTTCACAAATCACGAATAAAACTTATATCTTTCAATGCTTTCTTTGCAGGAATAGAACAACCCTGCACAATGATTCAAAGGACAGCACACTGGTTGCTCCCACATGCTAATATCTGGGGAATTAGTCTTGGCTACTTGTACTTCAATCGCTCCTCAGAGCTTTTAGTTCACAAGCCTGGTGAATCATTTTTCCTTGGCCTTGTGGCTGCTTTGTTCTCACCATTGGTAAATCCAGAACATCATATATCCCTATGCAGATATACTCACAAACAATCATTTTAATGCTTATTATTCCTCTATGCATTTTCAGAGATAGGCAGTCTCAAAGTTTGTTGAATCAAACTTAAGATGGAAGCTACCTCTGCATAAGTTTCGATCGGTACCTAATCAAAGCTTTCTCCAAGATGTTTCTTCATGTCAGATTGGAATGCTTCCTCAACATTTTTATGACAAAGTGGAAGAAGGAAGCATCATTCTAAAGAGATCACAGGGCTTTAGGTTCTGCAAAGAAGGTTTAATCATTGATGGAGAATCAAAACCATTAGAGACAGATGTGGTGATTCTTGCTACAGGGTTCAAAGGTGATCAAAAGCTCAGAAATATATTCAAATCACCAATATTCCAAAATCTCATCACCCCCTCAGCTACCTCCTCAGTTCCATTGTACAGGTTTGACAACTTATCCTTCACAGATAGATTCTTAAATAAGCACTAAGCAAAGACATAAAATCTAAACCTGACCATATTTTGAATATCTTATAACATTGCAGAAAGATACTTCATGCTAGAATCCCACAAGTAGTAATAATAGGATTTGCAGAGGGACTCTCAAATCTGTATGGTTTTGAAATGAGGTGCAAGTGGCTAGCAAGCTTTCTGATGGAAGAATTGAACTGCCCTGTGTGAGAGAAATGGAAAAGGAAATAAAAATCTGGGAAGACAATATGAAGCTATATGGTGGGAGGTATTATTGGAAGTCATGTATTGGAAATTGCAATATCTGGTACAATGACCAACTCTGCAAGGACATGGGAGGTAACCCCAGGGGAAAAAAAAAAAAAGGAGCCTTTTTGCAGAACTTTTTCAACCTTATGGACCCACTGATTATGTGAGCCTTCCCACTAAATGAGCAATTTGGAAATTCTGTTTTCCTTGTGTCAATAAGACCTCCTGCAAAGACTTCCTGCATGCTGTTAGTTTTGTATACTAATACACAATATAAGTCACTTTAACTAATTTCTCAATATCAAAAAATGATAGTTGACTCATTAAATCTGTTCCAAATTGATTTTTTTTCTAACTTTACCCATATTAAATAAGGTTATGAAGGAGAGAGAGAAAAACACGAGAAGTTATATTTAAGTATTAACTGCAGAGACAAAATTGACAAATAGGCATCAAATACTTTCCAAGTGACTTGTATTTTAAATTAAACCAATCTTCTAGAAGCAACTTATATTATGAACCAGAGGGAGTAGTTAAATTTGAGTGTAGTTTAAATTTTATAAAGGACTGTTTCGGTTAATACAAATTGATTTTGAAGATAGAAGTATATATGATATTAGACTCTATCTCAGCACAATCACTCATCTTCACACTCTATTTAATGTGGATTTAAATTATTTGACATAGCAACTGCCAATGATTCTGTTACTTATTTAATGACGCCAAATTTGACAGTTTCTGTCACTGAATCCATTTTTTCATTAGAAGTTACTGAAAATGTTCCTAAACACTAAAAATCATGAGACAGATGTTATATGAAATCTGCTGATGAAAAATGAAGATACATATAAAAATAGTGTAGATGTTCAGCTGATTTTCATATAAAAAATCTAATCCTTAATCACACACACACACACATATAAGTCCCTTCTTTTTCTTTGATAGAATTATAAAATTACAAATAACATTATATTTGATTAGAGAAAATAATCAGAAAAAAATTAGGATAGATATATTTTGTTTGTACCAACTCATGTTGACGCGAATAGTAGGGATTCTTGTCTTCAAGTAAATAGCTGATAAAATATGATATTTATTTACAAAATATTTAGATTAAAATTGTTTTCATTGATTATATTTTTTTAAATCAATTTAAAATGAATTATCAAACCTAATTTTCGAAGCAGTGCGGACGATCATGGGAAATAGGTCACAAGCACTTTTTTTTTTTTTTTAAAACCAGAGACAAGCACATAATTACACAATTTTTCTCACACTAGGTCCCAAAACAGTCTACTTTTCTATATAATACTCCTCTGTTTATTGGTAGAATTGGGAATATGATGTTGAGGCCTACAAGCCAGCTTATCAACCCCCCATAAAAAAGCGGGTTAGAGTTGGCGTTTTGATAACCCCTAAAGTGTAAACTATTTTAGCTTGCACCGCATAACTCATGAGTTGTGGCGGGTTGGTCAGCCTAACCTATCATTTTTTAAAAAAAAATTTCACGTAAATATATGTTATTATATTTAAAAATTTTTCCCTCATTTATATTTTAATTTTCATGTTACATATATGCGCAAAAAATATTTTAAAAAATAAGCATACTATATGTATAACAAAAATTTAACCACCAAATCAAATACAAGATAATATTTATTATAGAAAACGGTGTTTTAGAAAAATATAGTGAATGAACTTTAAAAAAATTAGATAGATATACTTCTAATCTATTAAGAGATAGTTTTCTGTATCAAACATGGTACTTGTATGAAAAAATTGTAAAATTTATCACTTGATGAGTTTACGTTAAATGTTAATCATGTAAAATATTTGTAATGTACTGTTTTATATTTGTATTAATTATTTTAAGTGTCATTAAACATAATTTATACTTGTGATTGTTTTTAACATTTTGGATCACCATTTATTAATTTAAAAAATTAAATAAAAAATAAGGTTTAAAAGTTAAGAATTGAAAAAAAAAAAAAAAGAAGATGGTGGGCTAGCCTACCAACCCGCTATGATGGGTTAAGGTTGGCATTTTTCCAGCCTACCAAAATGCAAGTTATTCCAGCTCACACTGCATAACCTATAGGTTGTGGTGAGCTAGCTTGCAACCCGCGGGTTAGCCCGTATTCCCAACTATAAATATATGACCTAATTATTAAGTTAGTTTTGATCATAAATATAAAATTTATTTCTCATGTTTATCAATCTTTCTTAAATTACTCTTATTAATACTTTCTTAACTATGGTCAAGTAGGAGAGGGGGAGGATATTAAGAAAGATAATTATGGTGTTTTAGAAAAAAAAATATGTCTTATTTGTTATAATTAACTAACTTATCAAACTTTTTTAATCTAATAAAATTAGTTAAATAGGTCTTACATTAAGGAATAGAGGAGTACTAGATACTAATAGATAATTCTATATTCAGTCCTCAATATAAGACATAGTTGACTAATTTGGTCAGATTAAAGAAATTAGTTAAGTTAATTGTTTGTGGTGTCTTTCCTAAAATACCTTAATTAATCATGTGTGTTTGAATTATCTATTGATAGTAACAATTTAACACATGGAACCACTATAGGAATTACTTAATGGCAAACTTGATAAATATAAGGAATAAAGTGAATTGAGGTCTTATATTTATAACTAAATTAAATGTCAAACTAGCTTTAATATTAAACATGTAACTATGGATATACTAAGTAATATGATAATGGATTATTAATTATTTGTTGATTGTTTTGAGTTATAGTATGTGTTTATGAATAAATATTAATTTTTTTAGACTTAAGTATTAAGTTCAGATTTTACTAGTAATGGCATTCTGTTATATACTAATATTTTAATTTGGTAAAACATATACTAATATTTGAATTTGAGATACATAAATTAAATGAAGAATTTTATTACTACCCTAGTTTATTTATGATTCATGATTAAATCAATGTATTTTCCGGTAAAAAAAAATGATTAAATTAGCTTATTTCACATCAGACAACCTCTTAACGGTCCTAGCGTCTGCAATTTTTTATGGAATAAACATTTTCTATTCGTTAAAAGAGTAACTCAAGTTAGCTTCAGCTTCCTATATAAAATAAATTAAGTAATCGTGATAAACTCCCAGAGATCAAGCCCAGTCAAGACATTCAAACACACACGCACACATATATTGAATAGAGTCTGATGAAGGCATGAAGCTACAAAAAAAAAAAGCGCCAGTAAGACTCACTGAACCAGTCATCACCCACCGCCTTCCAAATATGAGGTGGCGATAGATATATTTCCAGTAGACGACTGAAGCTCTTTTCTAATGAAAAAACAAACAACCCACGAAGTCAAACGTTGAAGAAACCCTGGTCCAAAAAAAAAAAAACGTTGAAGAAAACAATTCCAAAAAGAAATGTACTGACTTTTTGAATAATCGATTTAGATATAATGCTTGTTAGGGTAAAATCAGAGAATCGAGCATTGAAAGATGAGAATGGAGAGAAGAGTGGGGATTATTGGAGCAGGAACCAGTGGTCTTCTTGCCTGCAAATACTTAGTAGAGAAGGGATTTCATCCAGTCGTCTTTGAGGCTGAAGATGGCATAGGAGGACTCTGGAGGCACACAATTGAGTCTACCAAACTTCAGAACAGCAGGGAATCTTACAGGTTTTCTGATTTTCCATGGGATTCTTCTGTCAAAGAAGAGAATCCAAGTAGCCTCCAGGTTTTGCAGTATTTGGATTCCTATGCTCAAAAGTTTGGGATCTTATCTCACATCAGATTCAACTCTAAAGTCATCGATATTGACTATGTTGGCGAGGTTACTGAAGAAATTACCGAGTCTTGGGATTTGTGGGGTGGAACTGGCAAGCCCTTTGGCTCTAAGGGAAAATGGCACCTTCAAGTGCAAGATACAGAGAGTCTTTCCACCGAGGTAGGTATTTACATACAAATTACAAATACATATGTGCACTGTCCAGACTACCGTGTATCTATAATATTGGGTATTTTTTATAGGTGTATGAGGTTGAATTTGTGGTTCTGTGCATTGGAAAATATAGTGGTGTGCCAAACATACCTAAATTCCCTGCAGGACAAGGCCCGGAAGTGTTCAAAGGTCAGGTCATACACTCAATGGACTTCTCTTCAATGGCAAATGAGGATGCTGCTAAATTGATCAAATCAAAGAGAGTTACAGTAATAGGCTCCCAGAAATCTGCCTATGATGTAGTAGCTGAGTGTGCATCTGCAAATGGTAAAACTTTTCTTTCTTGCCTTCCTACAAATCACTTACATAAAAGTTCTGTCTCCCAAAATGCTTTTTATATATACAGGAATCAAGCAGCCCTGCACCATGGTTCAAAGGACAGTACACTGGTTTCTCCCAGATTTTAATATTTGGGGAATTAATCTTGCATTCTTGTACTTCAATCGCTTTTCTGAGTTTTTGTTTCACAAACCTGGTGAATCCTTCTTCCTAAGCCTTGTGGCTACTCTCTTCGCCCCATTGGTAAATCCTGCACATCTCATGTGCATATATTCTCACAAACAGAGAAATCATCTTCGTGCTGATGATTCGTCTTTGCATTTTCAGAGATGGGCAATCTCAAAGTTTGTCGAGTCAAACCTCAGATGGAGGCTGCCACTAGACAAATTTGGATTGGTACCCAATGACAGCTTTCTTCAAGGACTCTCTTCATGTCAGATTGGAATTCTTCCTCAAAATTTTTATGATAGAGTAAAAGAAGGAAGCATCATTATAAAGAGATCAGAGGGCTTTAAGTTCTGCAAAGAAGGTTTAATCATTGATGGAGATTCAAAACCCATAGAGACAGATCTGGTGATTCTTGCTACAGGGTTCAGAGGTGACCAAAAGCTCAGAAACATCTTCAAGTCTCCATTATTCCAAAATCACATAGCCCCGTCAGCTAAGTCCTCAGTTCCATTATACAGGTATGAGCCATTTCTTTCTCATAGAAAGATTCTTAGGTAAGCAAAGGTATAAAATCTAAAAACTAACAAAGTATTTTGAATTTGTTGCATGATTACAGACAAATACTTCATGCCAGAATCCCACAAGTAGCAATAATAGGATTTGCAGAGGGACTCTCAAATCTCTTTGCTTTTGAAATGAGGTGCAAGTGGCTAGCAAGCTTTCTGGATGGAAGCATTGAACTGCCCAGTGTGAGAGAAATGGAAAAGGAAGTTAAGATTTGGGAAGATAGTATGAAACTGTATGGTGGGAAGTATTATTGGAAGTCATGTATCACCAATTGCCATATTTGGTACAATGACCAACTCTGCAAGGATATGGGATGTAACCCCAGAAGAAAGAAAGGATTTTTCGCAGAACTTTTCCTACCTTATGGACCCACTGATTATATGGGCCTTTCCACTAAATGATCAATTTGTGTATCTTGTTTCCCTGATGAACAATAAAGCTTTCTGCGTGTTATTTTTACACAATAAAATTTCTTCATCTTAGTTTAGATTTGCATGATCTCAGTTTCAGTCAATCTCATCGCAAATCATGTATTCTAACTAGATGTTTCCATCACTTATAATGTATTCCAAGCAAACATTTATAGAGAAAAAAAAATATTACTATGTTTAATATAAAAGCCAGTTTACAAATTTGAGTAGATTAAGAAAATTAGTTACATTAGTTATTTATAATAAATTGTTGTTGTCTTTCCTAAAATATCATTGCTAATCATGTGTATTAAACTATTAACTAAAATTATCATTTGATGAAACTTTTAATATAAACACAAAAGCTAGTTTACTAATTTGAGTAGATTACGAAAATTAGTTAAGTTAATTATTTGTAATAAGTAGGCACTATTGCTAATCATGTATATTAAGCTATTAGCTAGAACTACTATTTGATGAAACATTAAACATAAACAACTATTACAAAGATTACTTTGAAAAATAAATAAATATGAGAGATAAAATAGCTTAAAATCTTATATTTAAAACTAAATTAACTATCAAATCGGGTTTTATATTAATGACTGGAGATAGTATTAGTACATCTAATATAGTTTGAAAACATGAAGGATAAAAATTAAATCTGGCGCAGCAAATGTCTCACGCACACGCACTCCCTCCGGTCCAAGTTTTTGATGATATCTATTGAATGCAGGAGAAAACCATGTCACACTATATTTCGCGAATAAAGAAAACTAAACATTTTTTTTAAAAAAATAAGAGGCTTTGTTTTTTTTTTTTTTTTGGTTGGTTTGGGGAGGGGTGTTTGGAGCCACCTTTTTGTTTCTTTGGTGGCCTTTCGCTCTGTGAGTGAAGGAGTCTGGGACGCGTAGCTGAAGACTGAAGCTGAGGAGGAAGAACTTTCAGGGCCATGGCTGCTTCTCCTTTCCTTCACCCTATCCACAAACTCGAATTCCGAAGATGCTCCTTCGTTGCTTTGAATTCTCAATTCCCTCCTCGTCTCCATTTTCTCCCTCGTCGCTTCCCCTCTTCCTCAACCATCCGTGCAAGCTCCGCTGTTCTTATGGAGTCGGTATACCGTGTGTACCCCCTTTTCAATTTTTTTTTCCTTATGTGAAATTATGTCCCATCTTTCTGTCATACTCTGATATTTTGTCGAGTTTGGGTTGTTTCTGAAACTTGGACGAACGAAAAGTGAAGCGCCGACATTTATCTTTGTATGCTGACATGACAGAATTTTGGAATTGCGATGGTTTCAATTGGTTCTTGATATTAATAAGAAGTTTTATCTGTTTAATCATAACTTAACTGTCCTCTTTTTGAAGTAATACCAATAATTTAATTAAAAAGAATAACTTCGCTGCACACTCAAGCCATCTGCTACAGCAAATTTCATCACTTGCCTTGCTGGAAATAGTTTCATGCATGCAGAATTCGAATTATGATGTATTTATGATGGTGGAACGAGAATTACCAAGTCAACCATGGGGAGTTGAAATCCCATGCCCAGTAAATGGTGTGATAATAGAACTCCTGATGATTTACCGCCATCATCGATCAAGCCTGTGATGCGGTTGAATTGATGTAAAGCTGTACTCTAAGCTGTACAATTGAGTCTCATTGAAGTTGGAATTTCCCTGGGTTTCATCAGAAATGGAATATACAGAAGTCTATCTGAAATCACTGTTGTGCATCTAGCTGTGGACTAGTCCTACCTGTTATTGAACTCTGAGTTGTTTCATCCATTGTTCACTATGGTCCTTGATTTAACTTGACATTGTTTAGTAACAGGATATAGGGAAGGATTTTAAGCAGATATAAGACAATGTTACTCCTCTTTAGTAAACATAGCAGATTTTTTTCGAAATTTCTGTTCTAATTGATAAATACTTGTATCATTTGTAAGAACTGTAAATTCATGTTAATCGAATATATCCTCTTCTAACTCCAACTCATATTAGTATTTGAATTTTCTGCCCTCAGGATACAAGTACGCGACAGGATCAAGCAAAGGAAACTGAAATCTTTGCCTGCCCAGTATGTTATGAACCTTTGATAAGAAAAGGTCCTCCTGGACTTAACCTGTAAGTTGAAGAGAAATTAACGCAACGCATGTGTAGTTATTTCTGCATGTATCTGAGAATCCTATCCGATAGTTGTTCACTTATGGATGTGGAACTTCAGATCAGCAATCTACAGGTCTGGTTTTAAGTGTAGAAGGTGCAATAAGTCATACTCTAGCAAAGACATGTTTCTGGATCTAACTGTCACTGCTGGTTTGAGGGATTACACCGAAGTTCAACCAGTCAGGACTGAGCTTTTCAGGTATAAGTAGATTAGTATTCCAATTCCAGTTTCATAGCGCAAGACTAGGCAGACAGTCACGTGAAACACACCCAGTTTTTTTTCTTTGGGTCCTGTAGATCCCATCTAACTTTCTAACTTTTATTTTAGGGACAAATATTTTTGTTTCTGTATGAATTCTTGTTTTTAACATATATGATGACTAGTTGTCATCTAATAAGAGTTCCTGCATAGCTCAATCACATGGGAAAATTCTTATGTTTTCCTTTGTTTCTACCAATCCATTAGGAGTCCACTTGTCTCATTCTTGTACGAGAGAGGCTGGCGTCAAAATTTCAATCGAAGTGGTTTTCCTGGCCGTGATGAAGAGGTATTCTGTCAATCCTATTATATGGCTAGGATGTGTCAATACTTGAAAATTCACGAGAGTTGTCCAAAAAGAATGTTTTAGAATTTGTCGATGCTTGTTTACTGTCATTTTCCATCTCTTTGGTTTTCTTGGAATTTAAAACACGTTACCCTCATCGCCATTCCTTTATAATGCAGTTCAAAATGGCTCAAGAGTACTTCAAACCTGCTCAGGGTGGTCTTCTTGTTGATGTCAGCTGCGGTAGTGGTTTATTTTCCCGAAAATTTGCCAGCTCTGGAGTCTATTCTGGTGTCATTGCTCTAGATTTTTCTGAAAATATGCTTCGCCAGTGTTACAATTTCATCAAGCAAGATGAAACTCTTTTAGCCAAGTATGATTGTCGTTGCCCTCAGCTTGAAACCAAACTTGATGCATCTCAGAAATTCAACTTTTTTTAATTCTCTCTGTTTTCTTTTTGGTTTAAACTTGTGTAAGGATATATGGCTGTCCTGAATCTAGTTTCATTTGATTGTTGGCAGTAATCTTGCTCTGGTAAGGGCAGATGTTTCTAGGCTTCCCTTCTCTTCAGGTTCAGTTGATGCTGTTCATGCTGGTGCAGCCTTGCATTGTTGGCCATCTCCCTCCAATGCTGTAAGTGTCTTTCTGTGTATGATGAACTTGACATGTTCATTGCTGCCTCTTCCATTATGACCTTCGCACAAATATGTTGTGCACTGCTCCTCACTTCAAATCCGGAACCCTTTATTCTTAGCCTGTTTTCTTGTTTTATGTCTCAAACAGAGCTAATCACAAGGAACACTATGAATTTTGCTTCTTCTAATGTGAACATGATTGCTTTCACTAATGTGCTTTGCATCGTCTTCTGTTCCCTTTGTGTCGCACCATTCAAATATATGTAATTTGCATTATGACACTGCTATTTTTAACTTGTTTAAGATTGCTGAAATCACCCGCATACTAAAAAGTGGTGGAGTCTTTGTGGGAAGCACTTTTCTTCGTTACACTTCTTCAACTCCCTGGATTATACGGCCTCTCCGAGAGGTAAACTCCTATCATGGTTTAATCCTTAATGACTTTGTCATAGTAGACGACAATGTTACTACTATTTTACACAGTGATCGTTCTTATGAACTAGACTCCATTCTTGTGTGGATCAAGTTATCATCCGGAGAGACTACTAGTATTTGATCATCTGAATGTTTAGAAGCTAGGAGGAAGAACGAAGGAAAAGAATAAAAGGAAAAATAAAATATCAAATGACACTAGTAAATGAGTTAATATCCCCTTCAAAACCTTCGAAAGTGAAGGAACTTAAAAACATGGAGGTTGAGTATCACTAGAAGCCTTCATTTCTCCTATGTGCGCGCGCGCGCGTGTGCATGTCCAAACTTTAGACAGGATAAAATGAGACTAAAGAAGAGGTATACAAAGTTAAAAAGATGATGCATAAAGGTAGTATCTCAAGGTTTTAGGTTAGAATATGGTGTCGAACTCACTGATATAAGACACTCTCTTGGGCCTTACCTATATACCCAGGTTTTATTGATGAGTGATTTGAATGGGTTGTACAATTTACTGGGTTTTTCTATTAAATCCCATGGAAGATGATATGAAGGTATTCTGATATGCAGAGAACTCTGCAGGGCTATAGTTATTTGACAGAGGAAGAGATAGAAGACCTTTGCACATCATGTGGTCTCACCAATTACTCCCGCAAAATTCAGCAGTCCTTCATTATGTTTTCTGCTCAGAAACCTTAAGCACGGCTTTCATCCATTTCAGACTCTTGACTCTCACTCTTCTTCAGTTTCTTATCCACGCTGGCGTATATTTGCTTTGTTTTGTATCTTTTTTTTTTTGTAAATAAATTGGAAAATTCAAAGATCATAACTTGAACCACATGATATGTTCCACCGTGAGTAAAAAGCATCAATATTCATATCATATATCCATGTCCATGTTGAGTGGTGAAGTGCATCATCTTATAATAGATGTTTCCATAGTGTGACTATTTATTTAGTCATGCTGACGGCTAATTGATATAGTGAGAGCTGGCCAGAGATGTGATGATAAATAATACTGATTTTATCATAAAACCTATTTAACTAATTGATTAGATTAAAAGATAGGTAAATTAGTTAATTATAATAAATATAACATATTTTTTCTAATTTGAAAAAAATTGATAAATATAGAAATATGGTTTACATTTACACTGAAGATCAATTTTACCATTAGGTCCTACATTAATAACTGAAAAGTGTTTTAGACAAAAATTTACATTGACTGTAAGACTTAAAAAGTACACCATTTTAGATCTCGCAATTTCATTTTTTTCCCCAGGTCTTTTACTTAACTACAGAAAATTTTTTTCAAAACTACAAAATTAACCCCACTGGCATCATAAAGGAAG